ACATTATTTACGACCATTTATAACTTAGTTATGAGTCAATCTGTTGGACTGGGATATCGTTGATATAAAACATATTATTTACGATAATTTATAAGTAAGTTATGTGTCAATCTGCTGGACTGGGATATCTTTGAAAAAACCCACATTATTTACGACCATTTATAATTTAGTTATGTATCAATCTGTCGGACTGGGATATCTTTTATATAAAACACATTATTTACGACCATTTATAACTAAGTTATGTGTCAATCTGCTGGACTGGGATATCTTTGATATAAACGCATCATTTACGACCATTTATAACTTAGTTATGTGTCAATCTGTTGGACTGGGATATCTTTGGCAAAAAATACATTATTTACGACCATTTATAACTTAGTTATGTGTCAATCTGCTGGACTGGGATATCTTTAATATAAAACACATTATTTACGACCATTTATAATTAAGTTATGTGTCAGTCTGCTGGACTGGGATATCTTTGATATAAAACACATTATTTACGACCATTTATAATTTAGTTACGTGTCAATCTGTTGGACTGGGATATCTTTGATATAAAACATATTATTTACGACCATTTATAATTAAGTTATGTGTCAATCTGTTGGACTGGGATATCGTTGATATAAAACACATCATTTACGACCATTTATAACTTAGTATGTGTCAATCTGCTGGACTGGGATATCGTTGATATAAAACACATCATTTAAGACCATTTATAACTAAGTTATGTGTCAATCTGCTGGACTGGGATATCGTTTATGTAAACCACATTATTTACCTATGATATAAATGAAACATGTTTTACACCTATGTGTACAAACGCTTACCCCATTTTATATATCAATATTAATACCGTATCAACAGAAGTTATACAAACGTACATAAACGCTTCACTGGTTGCGTTTTACACACTTATCTACAATAAAGTTTGATTTAAATGAAAAGTATCCCAGTCCGGCTGATCAACACTCAACTGGGTTGTAAATATTTGTTACTATTTTCAATACTAGTACATAAAATATCCTAGTCAGGATTATTTTTATGCATGTCCGTTTTTAGTGAGGTATATAAACACGTTCGATACCTTTAGGTGTTGGGTTCGACCATGGTAATTTCACCAATTTGTTTTTGTTTCTGGTTAAACTATAAAGTAGTAGAGAAGACAGTCGTTTTGTTAATGTTATTTTTATTCCATCCGAGAGATAAGCCTGTTTTAAAGCAAAGTCACAAACATAGGTATTTTATATCATGGATATAAATAAAAAGCATTATCAAAGGAAGTCAACTGAGTATTGAAATATCAGCTTGATAATAGTATTGAAATCGAATGAAAATTTAACTTAGCTGATCTAAAATAGCAATAATGACTTTTTAAGCAGGATTACAAAACTGAAGCCCATGGACAATTAATTCATGTATACAATTATTTAATAATGAGGGAACTTAGCGAATAAACCATTGAACGTGAAAGATATTGTCAAACCTAGGAGTCTTCAATATACAGCTCAAAAGTAAAAAAAACGCAATTACGAAGAAAATATTATTTTCATTTTGAAAGGGGAACAAGTAGAGAAAATGTGAGAAACTGAAATGAACTACGATAATAAGAGATATTCTCAATGCCAGATGTCGTAATAATACTGCTCAAAAAACGAAAAAAAACGCAATGAATTTAAAAGGTTTTGTCAAAACAACAATTCAAAAAAATAAATAAATCACCCATAGGACATATTACTTTCGATTAGTTAATAAAGTTTATATTTTTTTTACTTTCATCCGGTTGATCATTGTCATTTCTGTTTTATAAAACTACATCTGGTGTGAAAGAATGACTCCAAGTTTCAGAATTGAATCATAACTGGGCAAATCTAGTACATGCTACACATTAAATCATCAATATCATAACATCAGCAATTTGGACCAATGACTATCTTTATATCTTTTTATTAAGATCACAAACAATGAAACTGTCTAAACTAAGAAAGGAATATACAATAATTCGGATGATATTTTCTTTGTCATGATTCTTGCTCGAGCATGTTTGATTGTTGTCTGTTATCGACCCATGTTTCGGCTTTGTTAATTTAGGTAAATTTATGGTTCAGAAAACTGGTATTATAAAAACACATATCATATAGGTACCTGTGCAACAGGAGACATGCCGAACAATGTAACATACTCAGGTGTAAAGCTTCTAGTAGAACTTTTACTGTTGAAAGAACAATATTTTGAATGGCTTATTATTATTTTCCGACATTCACATCACATGTCATACAATCAAGAAAAATAATTTTGAATAAATATTTCACCCAGCACCAAACAACCAAAACACAACTTAAATTCATTCAATGTATATTTTAAAAGATACAAGAGTACATTAAATTGAAATCATACGAAATAACAAACAGATTTGTCTTCTTGTAATATATACAATTTTAAAATCATAAAATACATATATTTATATTATATATATAATGACTATCAATATAATGTGTACAAACACGCACGAAGAAACTCTTTTTAAATAAATCAAAAAAGGAAAAGGAAAGAACACAAACCACGTCAGTATGATTTAAGGCTTGGGCAAAAATGCAAATGTACAAAGATATACTTAATACTATATAAATCTTCTCCCATTTCGGCTACAGCATGGGGTACAAGTACATATAAATATTTATCTAAAGAAAAAAATTGTTTTGACTGTGAATGATTAAGTTGATAAAACAAAAGTATTAAAAAAATTAGAACGTAGTTTGTTTCACCATTTTTCAACTGAAGTATACCTAAGAGTCATTATTGCAAAAGAAAAAACAAAAAGTTTCATTCATGAAAATGTTAAAATAAAAAGAAAAGATATTTCAACTCGAATGTACTGTTAACCTCAACACGAAGCACTGACATATATAAAGGCAGCAAAACGACACACTGAGGGAATTGTTTGTCATACTGATACAATCGAAAAAATGGGATTGGGGTGATGAAACCTATAACAGTTTGGAAGCAGTAAAACCTTAAGCAGATATTGGAGCTATTAAACCTTTAGCTATCCTGGGAGTGATGTAACCTATACCAGTATTACAGTTTGTGATGAAACCTATAGCAGTTATTACAGTTTGTGATGAAACCTTTACCAGGTATTACTGTTTGTGATGAAACTTTTAGCAGTTATTACAGTTTCTGATGAAATCTATAATAGATATTACAGTTTGTGTAGAAACCTATACCAGTTATTGCAGTTTGTGATGAAATCTATAGTACTTATTACAGTTTGTGGTGAAACTTATAGCAGTTATTCCAGTTTGTGTTGAAACGTATATCAGTTATTACATTTTGTGATGAAATCTAAAGCAGTCATTAACAGTTTGTGATGAATCCTATAGCAGTTATTAACAGTTTGTGTTGAAACGTATATCAGTTATTACAGTTTCTGATGAAATCTATAATAGATATTACAGTTTGTGTTGAAACGTATATCAGTTATTACAGGTTGTGATGAAACCTATATCAGTTACTACAGTTTGTGATGAACCCTATACCAGGTATTACAGTTTGTGACGAACCCTATAGCAGTTAATAAAAGTTTGTGATGAAACATATAGCAGTTATTACAGTATGTGATGAAACCTTTACCACGTATTACTGTTTGTGATGAAACTTATACCAGGTATTACAGTTTGTGACGAACTCTATAGCAGTTATTACAGTATGTGATGAAACCTTTACCAGGTATTACTGTTTGTCATGAAACTTTTAGCAGTTGTTACAGTTTCTGATGAAATCTATAATAGATATTACAGTTTGTGACGAACCCTATAGCAGTTATTAACAGTTTGTGATGAAACTTATACCAGGTATTACACTTTGTGATGAAACCTTTACCAGGTATTACTGTTTGTCATGAAACTTTTAGCAGTTATTACAGGTTGTGATGAAACCTATAGAAGTTATGGGAAAGATTAAACCCATGGAGGTTATGGGAGTGATGAAACCTATAGCATAGCAGTTATTACACTTTGTGATGAAACCTATAGCATAGCAGTTATTACAGGTTGTGATGAAACCTTTACCAGGTATTACTGCTTGTGATGAAACTTTTAGCAGTTGTTACAGTTTGTGATGGGAGTGATTAAACCTATGTAAGTTATTGGAGTGATTAAACCCATGTTAGTTATGGGAGTGATGAAACCTTTGGACGTTATTGGAGTGACTAAACCTATGGACGTTATGGGAGCGATTAAAGCCATGTAAGTAATGGGAGAGATTAAACCTATAGAAGTTATTACAGTTTCTGATGAAATCTATAGCAGTCATTACAGTTTGTGATGAAACATATAGAAGTTATTACAGTTTCTGATGAAATCTATAATAGATATTACAGTTTGTGACGAACCCTATAGCAGTTAATAAAAGTTTGTGATGAAACTTATACCAGGTATTACACTTTGTGATGAAACCTACAGCAGTTATTACAGTGTGTGGTGAAACTTATAGCAGTTATTCCAGTTTGTGTTGAAACGTATATCAGTTATTACAGGTTGTGATGGGAGTGATTAAAGCCATGTAAGTAATGGGAGTGATTAAACCTTTGGACGTTATGGGAGCGCTTAAACCTATAGAAGTTATTACAGTTTCTGATGAACCCTATAGCAGTTAATAAAAGTTTGTGATGAAACTTATACCAGGTATTACACTTTGTGATGAAACCTATAACATTTATTACAGTTTGTGATTAAACTTATAGCAGTAATTACAGTGTGTGATGAACCCTATACCAGTTATTGCAGTTTGTGATGAAACTTTTAGCAGTTATTACAGTTTGGGTTGAAATCTATATCAGTTATTACAGGTTGTGATGGGAGTGATTAAAGCCATGTAAGTAATGGGAGTGATTAAACCTTTGGACGTTATGGGAGCGCTTAAACCTATAGAAGTTATTACAGTTTGTGATTAACCTTATGGCAGTTATTACAGTTTATGATGACCCCTATAGCAGTTATTAAAAGTTTGTGATGAAACATATAGCAGTTGTTACTGTTTGTGATGAACCCTATAGCAGTTATTACAGTTTGTGATGAAACTTATAACAGTTATTACAGTTTGTGATTAACCTTATAGCAGTTATTACAGTTTGTGTTGAAACCTATACCAGTTATTACAGTTTGTGATGAAACCTATAGCAGTTATTACAGTTTGTGATGAAATCTATAGCAGTCATTAACAGTTTGTGAAGAAACCTATAGCAGTTATTACAGTTTGTGATTAACCTTATAGCAGTTATTACAGTTTGTGATGGGAGTGATTAAACCTTTGGACGTTATTGGAGTGACTAAACCTATGGACGTTATGGGAGCGCTTAAACCTATAGAAGTTATGGGAGTGATTAAACCTATAGAAGTTATGGGAAAGATTAAACCCATGGAGGTTATGGGAGTGATGAAACCTTTGGACGTTATGGGAGTGATTAAACCTATGTAAGTTATTGGAGTGATTAAACCCATGTTAGTTATGGGAGTGATAAACCTATAGAAGTTATGGGAAAGATTAAACCCATGGAGGTTATGGGAGTGATGAAACCTTTGGACGTTATGGGAGTGACTAAACCTATGGACGTTATGGGAGTGATTAAACCTATAGAGGTTATGGGAGAGATTAAAGCCATGGAAGTTATGGGATTGATTAAACCTATAGAAGTTATGGGAGAGATTAAACCTATATAAGTTATGGGAGAGATTAAACCCATGGAAGTTATGGGAGTGATGAAACCTATAGAAGTTATGGGAGTGATTAAAGCCATGTAAGTAATGGGAGTGATTAAACCTATAGAAGTTATGGGAGAGATTAAACCTATATAAGTTATGGGAGAGATTAAACCCATGGAAGTTATGGGAGTGATGAAACCTATAGAAGTTATCGGAGTAATTAAACCCATTGAGGTTATGGGAGTGATTCAACCCAAGGAAGTTATGAGAGTGATGAAACCTATAGCAGGTATTGGAATGGTGAAACCAATAACAGTTATGGGAATGGTGAACACCAAGCAGAGATAACATATTCTTCCCACAAAGTAGAAATATCTAACTAAAGACCAGGCAGAATAAACTCACGACAACAATAAGAGCAATTATATCGTGAATATTAAAAAAAAGGTTTCGTTCAATACTTTAGTTTTCTACCCACAGAACGTGGGTTTGGCTGTATAAAAAGCACACCATTCCTACAATTGTAAGAATCGTATTGGGTTTGTTCTCCATCGGAGCTCCACAGATGTCCGGAGCTGAACTAGTGTCTTGAGGTATCTGATTACACTCCCACTGCAGGTCGACGGAACACACCCCATGGCCTTTTCTGCTCGAACTGGAGATAACCCTGTTAAAGGACAGGTAGATCTCATAGTTGATGCGGTGATCCCCTCCCTTGGTGTCCGGTTGACCGTCAAGGGCAAACAGACACTCGCTACAGTGGGTCGCGTCGATGCCCCGGTCGTTGGTGACGCGATACGACCGGTCGGCCACGTAGAAAGTAACGTTGTTGACTGAAGGGCCGACAATGTTATAGTCTTTGAAGGCCGCCTTAGCAAATTGACAGACGTTTCCGCCTCGCTTCCATGACGTAATATCATACGTACCCGTTGCTTCAGCCTGGATCTCCGCCGCGTTGTCGTTGTGGCCTCCATCCCCTCCTATAAGACACAACATTAAAGCTTTGTAATCCAAATACTAAACGGTGCCAACCAATAAAACATTAGTGAACCAATCTATTAACTGGCATCGAGGTATGAGGAACAACACACAATGAACAAGGACACAAAGAAACCAGTGAACGAATCTCTGAGTATAACAAAAACAACATTGGAAATAATGATTCTTAAAACAGTGTACATGTTCATACAATAATGAAAAGAGATTAGCATATGTCTGGTCATGAATAACCATAATACCGACTTAATAAAAAGATAAGGACCAACAGTAAACAATTCTGTCCTTGTTTATAGGAAGAATAATGGTTATTTAAAACAAAACAACATGGAGATTACAACTGTGATACACGTATACGAACATGGGCTACTTGTCGTGTTATTTGGTAACAATGCGATACATTAAAACAGCACAAGATATACCAGTCATCTTTATTAGCTTTACACTACCTATCAGCATTAGAAACACTATTGCTAGAATCTAATTCCTTGTATAGAAATTAATAATAAATATAAAAGACCAAGTCCGGTTGGGCCTTTTTTTTTTTTTACAAAATATCACGGAATACTTGTTTTTAAAAGTTTTTACCTGAACTCGTCACAAAGACAACGATTATGAAAATTGCAATGGAGAAATATTCAAAATTAAAGAAACGGTTATTTGAAGTTAAAGGTTTTCAATTTTGATGGATTGAGAGGCATCGCTTGCTGTACATTGTGTTACAAGTTCCTGACTACAAGATATTCCACTCCAATCCTCCATCTAAATTACACCTGATTCAAACTTGACCGCGGTCCACTTATACAGGTGCAACTGAAGCAAAAGATCTTGCAGTCACTCTCAAATATAATTTAAAGTGTGAAGCCATATTCCAAAATATAAATGTACGCTCTCAAGCAGATCCAACATTAATCTTTCTAGCAAGAAACATATGATCCAAAATGAATGAACCGATATATTTATCTTTTGTCAGACCTCCATTCTAGTATTTATTCCTGTTTTGGCTGGGACCCATATACCAAATACCGACACTGATAAAAACGAAAAAGTAGAACATCCTGTTGTTTTTGCAACAAACATGCTTAACTGGCACTATTAAGTCGACAAGAAAAGCTTCTCCTACCATTTTCATCAAAAGTGTAACCAAACAACATTCTGAAAAAAACCAAGTGGAGAATATTTTCCTTTTTTCTAAAACCTATTTCAGATTGGAACAACTTCCGTAGCATATCCCCCCTATCGATTATATTGAATTCCTTCAAATTTGTACTTGTACTTATTGAGTCCCTCATTTGTATTCAGTTTTAACCAGCGTACCACTTGGATATTATCTTCATTATATTGAAGTTGTGCAGTATCCGAAAGACAGACATATACTTTACACGAAAACTGTTTAGTTAACTATACAAAGAGTTAATAATATACAACATTCTTAATATACAACATTTATATAGCGCCCTACATAATTTGTAAAATTACTCTAAAGAATGGAAAATAGTATTAGTTATAATTGATAAACAAAAAATGCTTACAATCACCATTTTACCTTAAGCAAGAAGATAATCACCTCAATATGCATATAAATGAATAAATAAAGGGTGGTATGCACATGACGTCTGTGCAAAGAGCCTAAAATGTAGACGTGAAGAGATGGGTCTTTATGTCCTTCTTGAATTGGCCAGGGTATTTTACTTTTTAATAGTAGATGGTAAGCTATTCCACAACGTGGATGAAACCCTCCCAAAGCACGGTTTCCATAGGTCATAGTACGAGATTTTGGGACACACAACAATGCTTCTGCCTCGTCTCCGACCGCAGTGATCGTGACGACTGATACAGGGTAACACGCTCCTGTAGGTACTGGGGAGCTGTTCCATTCGGTGCCTTGCATGTGTATACCAAAATTTTGTATTGCGACCTGTACCGTACAGGTAACCAGTGCGATGAATATAGCACAAGTATGATGTGCTCTCTCTTTCGAGTACGAGTAACCAGATGTGCTACATTGTTCTGAACCCTCTGCAGACGACTAGTTAGTTTGTCAGTTTAAACCACAGAGCTGGGCATTACCATTGTCCAACCGAGAGGTAACAAGTAAATGCACCAAAACTTTGCATGCATCTTCAGTTATAAGCTGCCGGCACATCCGATGTTCCTGATATGGTAGAAACAGGATATGGCAATAGCGTTCACTTGTTTCTCCATGCCTGTAAACTGTCAACGTATACCCCTAGTTTTAAATAGCTGGTGCAATCTCAATAGTTCTTGCACCGACCTTTAGCTGGAAAGCCATTGTTTGATGATACTTTGGGGAAAAGACGATTAGTTCCGTCTGTTCCTGGTTGAGCTTTAGCATGTTGGCCTTCATCCAGGTTCCAATCGGATTAGAGTGTAGACAATATTTTCGTAGTCCTAACACCGACCCTTGCGGAACCCCGAAATATAGTATTTTGTCATGAGAGATGGTAAATCCGATGGCAACACACTTTTCTCGTTTACTAAGATAGTTCGTTATCAGTCACTCCATAAGAGTATTCCAGACGTTTGTAAAGTATGTCATGGTCGATGACGTCAAATGAAGCTGACAAGCCCAGCATGACAAGCACCGCTCTGTACTTGTTATCTAATGCAGAAGCGATGTCATTATGTACACGTAGAAAGGGCGTCTCACTAGAGTGTCCCATGCGGTAGGCCGATTGCAGGTTGTCATGGAGACTGTTTGCATGGAGATGAACCTCTAAACCCTGACACACAATCTTCTTCAAGATTTTAGACAGAAAGGGCAGATTTGATACTGGGCGGTGGTTCTTCAACTCATCTTCAGCAATGGTCTCATGTGTGCCTTGAAACTCAATGGAACGTTAGACTCAGCCAATGTTTTGTTCATAACTGAGGTAAGCAAAGGAAGCAGTGCTTCAAGACACGATTTTAATAGATATGTAGGAAGTGGATCAATCTCACAGGATTTCGATTGTGAGTTCATGATGATATTGCGCAACTCGCCCTGGGTTGTTGGTGAGAGCTTTGTCAATGGTTCCCCATCACATTTAATGCCAGCAGTCATGACAGAGATATCATTGTCAGCAGTTCACTTCGCCAATGTTCCTAGTCGTGCTGATTTTATTCAAAAAGTAATCACTGAACTTGTTTGTCAAATCTTTTTCGAAATAAAGCTTGGCAAGATGATTTCACCTTTCTGACCCATCAGGGTTTTGATGAGTCTAAAAAGTTGCCTATGGTCCTAACTACATTCTTCGATTCTTTCCGAATAATAAGCATTCTTTGGTTGAATGAGTTAACCAACTAGCCGACATTGGTCCCTTTAAATATGTTGGTGAACGGTTAATTTGGTACTTCGCCACCGTCTTTTTGCTTTTCTGCGTTTCTGTTTTCCTATGCGGAAATTTTCATTATACCACGGGGAATTCGGTCTCACAGTTATCACCATAGTCTGTAGAGGGCTCTTTACCAGATGTGTGTGCTTCAACAAGATAATCAACCCCGCCTTCAGTAGATTGAAGGACAGAAGAAGACTGAATGTCATTGTTGAAATCTGGTATTGAAATTTCGCGGAATTTCCGGAAGCTCACCTCTCCCTTTGCACAATTTGGCTTCCTATAATTCAGTGTTGAGTGGACAGCAAGGTGATCACCACATTGGTTCTCCTTAACGTGAGTTAAACACGGATCAATTACTGAAATTGCTCGTTGAATGACCAAGTTATCTTCCCTTGTTATGACCACATCCAGTGTGTGGCCATGGGTTTGTGTAGCTTCTGTCGTTACATGCTGAATCAGATCCTTGAAATTTAGTAGCCCAGAGAACTGGCGAGCATCAACATAAGATAGATCGCATAAGTGGAAATTTACGTCACCCATGATAATGATATATGGTACAAGAACCTGGTGGTCTAAAAAGGTAGACCACTTATCAATAACCACTGTATTTTGGAAAGCATTCTGTTTAGATGGAGGAGGCCTGTAAATGACAGGTTATCATCAGCAATGACAGAGCAAGTCATCATGGCTGGGAGAAATATGTCTCACACTTAAACCTTTCTTAAACTGAACAATCACCCCGCCACCACGTCTGCTAAGTCTAGCATTGTGAAGGAATTTATAGCCTGTTGGTATTAGCTCAGCTAGTACCTGGTCATCGATATCTGAACCTAACCAGGTTTCTGTCAATGAAAGAATGTCAATGTCCTGAGATGTTACAGACTCCCCGATGGACTATGACTTATTCTTCACCAAGCATTAGCTTAAGGACACTAAATTCAGAGGAATATCTGACTTGAAGTGACCAGCCATAGTTTACTGAAAGCATGACTCACTGGTCTAAGTGCCAGGGGAACGTATCTCATATACTTAAATATACTAGTAATATATAACTGGGATATGAACCTGCGGTGATGGAGGAAAGAAATCACAATTTGGAAACTGACGGTGCTGCAGGAGGTTCCCACAATTGTCGCCTCCTAGGCGGCATATACTGACAAGAGATGATAATCATATTTGGACTAAAAACAAGTTAGATTGTAAAAATGATCCTACATATGTACTAGTATTTACAACAGAAGCAAAACAACAACAAATACAGTAGCGAATCAGTACAAAATGTCTAGAACATATCTACCGAATTTCTGATTCTGACTCCGATTCTGGAAGGGGCCTCACATGGACCATTCCTTAGGGTAAATTTGGTGAAATGTTATCCAGAAAGTAAAGCCAGACAAAGAGTACTACTATTCTGAACTTTTATCTAAAATAATTATTCACTAAGATAGACACCAACGCAAACACAATCATAATGTCGCAATGAATATGCATGAAACAACCTTTGGAATAACCATTTTCATAACATATGCCATGTTTTCCTGACAATTGGTATTTACTTAATCAGTTGCCATGATGGCTGCTGTTGGTCATCGTACATTTCGTAACGACTTTCATCTGTTAAATGTTCTCCGGATATTCTCTGGGCC